CCTACTACCACTACTACTACTACTACTACTACTACTACTACTACTACTACTACTACTACGACTACTACAACTTGAGAGAAGAAAAAAAAACCTCAATAATACGGCTACGGCTGCGGCTACGGCTACGACTACGACTACGACTACGACGATGACGACGACGACGCCGACTACGACGACGACGACTACGACGACGACGACGACGACGACGCCTACTGCTACTACTACTATTACTACTACTGCTACTACTACTACTACTACTACTACTACTACTACTACTACGACTACTACGACGACGACGACTACTACTACTACTACTACTACTACTACTACTGCTACTACTACTACTACTACTACTACTACTACTACTACTACTACTACTACTACAATACTGCACCACCGATCGCAGCCCCATCTTTCTCCTGCGCCGTTTCCTGATCATCCATCCCTACTGCTTATCCGCCAACTTGCCCCCTCGCACGTTGAGGCGTGGAAGAATGTCAAGGGATCCGCCCCCGCAAACTCGTGTGCGTATCATCCCCTTCTTTCCGAGGCCACTTCCCTCGTGCCCGCTCGAGAATGGTGCATCTTCAGCATGGCAACTACTGCCTAAACCCCCATTGCACGCGTGCCCGCTCGAGGTTCGTGCACCACCGCATGGCAGCTAACGCCTGAACCCCATTCCACGCGCACCCGCTCGAGGATGGTGCACTGCCCGCATGGCAGCTTACGCCAGAACCAGCATTCCATGCACGCCCGCCCGAGGATTGACCACTTCCCGCGTGACTGCCAACTCCTGGATCCCTCATCCCGCGCGCGCACTTCCCGTCCTCCCAGGCGCTGCTCCCAAGCGCTGTGGGGCCCCCCAAACCACGACGCCCCGCGGAAAAACGACGGATCTACGCCACGAGCCTCCGAGACGGCCCCCGCATGCAGCCAAGGGTACCAAGATAGCCCAACATGCCTCGAAGACGGCACATGGCCCCAAGGCGGCCGACCGTTCGTTCAAGACGGCCCATGATGCATCCAAGAGGGCCCCAATGGGCCACAAGAAGACCTCCAGCAAAGTCCGAAGACGCCAACATACTTGCTCCCCCCTGGGGTTTGGGATGGTGCTCGCAGTCTCGCTGGTTCGGGCTGTCGTCAACTCAAGATGGCTCAGGAGGACACCACGATGACCTAGGAGGCATCCGAAACGGCCACAAGACGGCCCACGAGGGCCTCCAATGGGACCCAAGACTGCCCTCAGAAGGCCCTTCGGCGGCCCAAGACTGCGCCAAGACGGTCAGACGACGGACCCTAGACACCCACCATACGGCCAAGAGGGCCCCAAGGCGGCCCAAGAGAGCCCCAAGCCAGCTTAAGAGGGCCCCAAGAAGGCCCGAGGGGGCCCCAAGGGACCCAAGACTGCATCACACGAGGCCAAGGCAGACCCAAGACGATCGAAACGAGTTGCATCCTCATCCGCATCCTCCTCATCCTCCTCCTCCGCATACTCCTCTTCCTCCTCATACTCATCCTCATCCTCGTCCTCCTCCTCCTCATCATCAGCATCATCATCATCATCATCATCATCATCATCATCAGCATCATCATCATCATCATCATCATCATCATCATCATCATCATCATCATCATCATCATCATCATCATCATCACCATCGTCATCGTCATCGTCATCAGCATCGTCATCATCGTAATCCACATCATCATCAGCATCATCATCAGCATCATCATCATCACCATCATCATCATCATCATCCTCGTCTTCATCAGCCTCCTCCGCCTCGTCCTCCTCCTCCTCCTCCTCCTCATTATCATCAACATCGTCATCGGCATCGTCGTCATCATCATCACCCTCACCCTCACCCACACCCTCATCATCAGCAGCAGCATCATCATTACAAGTATCATTATCATAATAAGAATGGTTGACGCTTCGCGTATCCCCACCAGCCCATCCAGAATTGATTGCCAGTTTTCGTGGGGCCTCGTTGGAGGCTATCTTGAGCCATGCTCGGCTAGAGGCTGTCGGAGGCTATATTGAGCCATGCTCGGCTATCTTGGGCCATCTTCAGGCTGTCTTGAGGTTTCTTGGAGGTCTGTCGGAGGCGATCTTGAGCCATGGTTGGCTATCTTAGGCCATTTTGAAGGCCATCTTGGGCTATCTAGGGCTCTCTTGGAGCCATCTTGGGCCAAAAAGGACGGGGTGGAGGGTCTTTGGGAGAGGCTGGGAGGCCTCGTGGGGCCATCTTGGGCCCCATGTCTCAAAAAGAGGAGGGCGCCTTAATTCGGACCCCCCCCCCTCGGGGGCTCCCAAACGGCGTCTTGGGGCCGTCTTGGAGCGCTCTTGGGCGCCTCTTGGGCGATCTTGGGGCCGTCTTCGGCCTTCTTGGGCCCCTCGTGGGGCCCTTTTGGGCCATCATGGTACCATCTTGAGGCTTCCAAAGCCCATCGGAAGCGAAAAGGCGAGAATGTCAAAAACATTGGCTTTCCCTCGGTTTTTGAAGGGTTTGGGCATCTTGGAGAGCGCCGTGGAGGGCTCGAAGGGCACTTGGATCCGTCTTGGGGCTGCCTTGGGGCCTCTTAGGGGGTAGGTCGGAGGCTATCTTGACCCATCTTGAAGTTACATGGGCCATCTTGGAGGCCATCTTGCGACTTTGAACGCCTCTTGGAGCAATCTTGGGCCATCTTGGACGCTCTAACGCCTCGCGGCGCGCCCCGTCCAGGCCCAGGGGAGGGTGTAGGGGGAGGGGTTTCAGTGGAAGAGAGAAGAAAAAAACGCGTTATACCACCTAAGCCCAGAGGGCTGGTGGGATTAACATGATCATCACCATGAACATTCACCATCAACATCACCATCAGTATCATCGTCATCATCATCACCATCACCATCACAACCACAACCATCACAATCAGCAGCAACCTCATCATCGTCAGAATCAACGCTATCGTCACCGTCGTCGTCATTGCCATAACCATCGGCATCATCATCATCATCATCATCATCATCATCATCATCATCATCATCATCATCATCATCATCATCATCATCATCATCATCATCATCACCATAATAGTCATTTCCCTTTAATCATCATAATTCTCATGATCCTCATCACGGCTCGCCCAAGCCTGGAGACACGACATGTCGCACGGGAGGGCCTCCCGTGCCTCCTCGAACAGTCGCCACCCAGAGTGCTGGGCGGGACTTTCCGCAGGCAGCTGGATGAACAACTCCCACCTGTCGCCGGGGTGGGCGCTGGGCCTTTTTATGTCTTCAGCGCAAAATCTACAGTAGCTGTCGGTCATGTGCCAGCTCACGCGACCCCCCGAAAATCGCTGACTGAGCGCAAGGTCCGCTAATCAGCTCAACGTCTATAGTGGAGTCGACGCGCAGTGTAGTGTCAGCATGCGGCCTGAGGCTCCTCAACCCCAGGCCGTGGCTTCTAAACGGCGGACAAGCACAAGAAGGCGCGGCCACAGACAGTTTATTTAAAAAAAACTCGGGCCGCCGGCGATTGCTGCAACTGACACCACACATGAAGAGAAGTCCCTCCCAACCGTGTGAGCCTCATCTGCCGCTAGCGCACCAGCTCGTCCTTCTCCTCGTCCCCCTCCACCTGCTCCCTCTCGCACCCGATCCTCCGGCCGGTCGGCAGGGCCCGGCTGGCGACCATGTGGACTGCCACGCAGACTTCTTACGGGGACAGGGAAAAAGTAATCAGGAGGAGAAAAAACACAAAGACACAATTAATCGTCGATTCCCCAGAAAATATGGGAAAGTATGGGCAGTGGGGGGGAAAACAGACACCCAGAAAACACGGGAAAATATGGAGGATATTTTTATGTGTGTGTATTTGTTTGTGTCCTGGGGCCCCTTCAAGTAACGAATACCACTTTCAATAAAACCTCCAGCATACCTCTCTCGAAGCAGTGCGCGAATTAGCTGGAAGCGTCTCGAACGCACAGGGAAGAACGCTCGATTCAGGCAGGCTGTACGCTGTCTCCTGGCAAGACGTGAAAATGGACAACTGAATGCAGGCGCGAGATGGATAGAGTTAAAGTGGGCAGGGGGACAAGGGAAGGAGGTAATCAACGATCCCGACTCACAGCGGTATCGCCATCTACGGATTCCACCTGGGTGTGAAACGATGCTCCTGCACCTTTTGCGACTCAGAGGCGAGGGCAACCATCACCGTCCGACGCCACCAGTGACTGAGACAAGCAAGCGGTGACCATGACGCAGCTGGAAACTCGAGCCGCAAACGGTCGCCATGCGTCGTGGTTCCCACCATGTCCCTGCCGTGCTCCCACCAGGTCCGACCCCAGCACGGCCCAGGTCCCAACCAGGTCCCCCCACCAGGTCCAGGTCCCCACCAGGTCCCCCCACCAGGTCCGACCAGGTCCCACCAGGAAGGGAGGAGACGAGGAAAGGGAGAGAGTAGACGCGAGAAGGCCAAGAGGAGGGAATCTTCACGCGGGCCAGCGCTCGCGCGCGCCTTCAGCCCTCATGACTGCCTTCAGCCCTCACTTAAACTGCTGGGGCGCAGAGTGCGGGTGACACAGAGCGGCGTCGGGCATGAGCGCGGCGGCCCCAGCCTCGTTCTCGTGTACATAGACCTCGTCCTCATCGCTTGGTTTCCCACCAACAAAGTAGTACACGCGGTTCAGGCACTGGAAGAAGGCGATGCAGAAGAGGAAAATGGCGAAGCCCGCCAAGTAGATCCCGACAGAGGCGGACGGGTAAGGGTACGCAGATTTCGACGCCAGATCCTTGAAGGTCATGTCAGAGAGCACAGTCCACGTGATCCAAGACAAGAAACCAGTCACGAACGCCACGACGCCGCAGATCATGGTCTGGGTCTTTGCGGCGTCCAGTTTTGGTTTGTTTTTCTTGAGGAACTTGGCCTCCTTGGTGAGCATCACCGGGAATGCGAAGGCAGCGCTGGCGGAGACCAGCTGCAACAGGGCGCAGATGACTCCCACGCTGGCCATGACGGTGTACGCCGAGCAGCGTTGGCTCACAACCTGCGTACAGGCAGGCCACGCGACGCATCCGACCAGTGCGCCCCCTGTTCCCATTTCTTGTGCCATCGTTTTCATGATCGCCACCTTCGAAAGAGCGTGTTCTACCGCTGCTGGCGGAAAACCGGGGGGGGGTCACTACCGGTTCGAACCCCTCCCCCCCCCCCTCCGGAAAACCAGGGGGGGTCACTACCGGTTCGAACCCCCCCCCCCCCCCCCTCCCCCCCCCCAGTTCATCATAAAAGGGGGGGGGGGTCACTACCGGTTCGAACCCCCCCCCCCTTTTCGAACTCGAAAACCGGGGGGGGTCACTACCGGTTCGAACCACCCCACCCCCACCCCCCTCGAAAACCGAGGGGGGGTGCGGACAGTGGTGGGGACGGTGGTGGTGGGGACAGTAGTGAGGGGACAGCGGGACAGTGGTGGGGACAGTGGGACAGTGGCGGGGACGGTAGTGGTGGGGACAATGGTGAGGACAATGGTGGGAACAGTGGGGACAGTGGGACAGTGGTGGGGACAGTGGGACAGTGGTGGGGACGGTAGTGGTGGAGACAATGGTGAGGACAATGGTGGGAACAGTGGGACAGTGGGACAGTGGTGGGGACGGTGGTGGTGTGGACAGTGGTGTGGGGACAGTGGGAATGTGGTGGAAACAGTAGGACAGTGGAGGGTACATTGTTGGTGGGGACAGTGGTGAAGGCGGTGGCGAGGACGGCGGTGGGACAATGGGACAGAGGTACAGTGGGGACAGTGGTGGGGACAGTGGGAACAGTGGGACAGCTCAATGGGACAGCGGAGGAGTCAGTGGGACAGTGGGGACAGTGGGGATAATCGGGCAGTGGTTGGGGCCGTGGAGAAAGTTGGGAGAGTGGAACCGTGGTGGAACAGTGGTGGGGACAGCGGGGACAGTGCGACAGAGGTGGTGGCACTGGTGGGGACAGTAGGGGCGGTGGTGGAACCAGCGGGGACAGTGGTGGTGAGGACAGTGGTGCTGGGAACAGCAGTGGGGGATGTGGTGAGGACGGTGGTAGGGACCGGGAGTCGTTTGCTGGCGGTGCGTGTGGGGAGGGGGGGGTTCGAACCGGTAGTGACCCCACCCTCCGGTTTTCGAGGGGGGGGGGGGGGTCGAACCGGTAGTGACCCCCCCCCCGGCTTCGAGGGGAGGGGGGGGGGGGATTTTTCGGGGAGGGGGGTTTTGCAGGGCGAGAGGGGTGGGGGGGGGAGGGTTCCAGCAGGGGGGGGGGGGGGATTTTCGGAGGGGGGGGGGTGGGACCCCCAGGCTCCGGAGGAAAAGGGTTGCAATTTTCCACAGTCAAGCGGCGGTGGATCACGCTCTCTCCCACCTTCGGATCGAAACCGTTGAAGCCAAGCATCTCATGGCACACGTCCTTTTTGAGCTTGAACCACGACATGCCCCTGCCGAGGTTGTCGCCGATGTGCAGCAGGGAATAACTGCGGTCGAAGGCGAAGCGTTGGGTCATACAGGACTGTGCCACAGCGTACCTCCACGGCAGATGCGGGGCAACGGTCGCCAGTATGCACAGGCCCCCGGCGACGAAGTTGAAAACCATGAGTTTCTCACCAGCGGTCCAAGATACCTTCTCCTTCTTCGTCCCCATCACTGAGGATCCGAAAACACTAAAACCCGGACAAACAGGCGTGGATCTCGCACCCGCGATTCTCGAGGAGCTACGAAATCTTGACCCTGATGTGCTTGAGCCAGAAAAAAGAGGAGGACGAATGGAGGACTGAACTGGGAAATGGTAGAGACGGGAGGGAAGAGCGGGTGTGTGAGGATCAAGAAAAGGGGACGGGGTGATGACCAAACGGGGAAGGGTGAAGGTGACAAAGAAGGATGGCCGATGCGTTCGGAAACTCTCGGGTGTGGTCGGATGGTGATAAACGTGTTTATGTTTTTTTGTTTCAATTTCCCCAGCACAACTCAAGATTCTGGGTGACGACGACGAACATGCTGCTCATGCTGACGACGATGATGATGATGAAACTGGTGGTGATAAAGAGGATGCTGATGATGATGATGGTGATGATGGTGATGATGATGGTTGTGGCGATGACGAGAAGGATGACAAATATGAGGATGATGATGATGATCAGATCGACATTTGCACTTCGAAAAAACCTTCACCGCCGATGCGGGGACGCCGTCAATGTCGTCGGCGTGATCAACCTCGGCGCCGTCACTGACCGCACCGTCGCCGTTGCCATGATCGTCGCCATCGTCGCTACGGCCAAGATCGCGTCTACCGTTGTCGACGTTGCCATGATACCGCGCCCGCCCAAACGGCCGACTCGCACAGAAATGCCCGCTGGGACGCGCCCGGAAGTCAGCGCCACCGCGGCCGCGTCGGTCGCGCAAGATTAGCTGGCCGCTGCGCGCGCGAGAATGCGCGGGCTAGCGCGGCCGCAGATGCACCAGCCAACACCACACACTCATCGCAATCGCCGCCGCATGTTCTTGCAAAACAGGTCACGGGTGGGCGGGTGGGATGATTGCGCGAGCCGTGGAGTTGACAACTGCAAGATCCACAAGTGAATCCCGCCAGCCCTCCGGGCTTAGATGGTATAACGCGTTTTGTTGTCTCTCTTCCACTGAAACCCCTCCCCCTCCCCTTTCCCTTGGGCCTGGACGGGGCGCGCCGCGAGGCGTTAGAGCGTCCAAGATGGCCCAAGATTGCTCCAAGAGGCGTTCAAAGTCGCAAGATGGCCTCCAAGATGGCCCATGTAATTTCAAGATGGGTCAAGATAGCCTCCGACCTACCCCCAAGAGGCCCCAAGACAGCCCCAAGACGGATCCAAGTGCCCTTCGAGCCCTCCACGGCACTCTCCAAGATGCCAAAACCCTTCAAAAAACATTGGGAAAATCCATGTTTTTGGCATTGTCGCCTTTTCGCTTCCGAGGGCTTTAGAAGCCTCGAGATGGCACCATGATGGCCCAAAAGGGCCCAAGAGGGGCCCAAGAAGGCCGCAGACGGCCCCAAGATCGCCCAAGAGGCGCCCAAGAGCGCTCCAAGACGGCCCCAAGACGCCGTTTGAGGGCCTCCGATGGGGGGATCCTCATGAAGGCGCCTCCTCTTTTTGAGACATGGGGCCCAAGATGGCCCCAAGAGGCCTCCCAGCCTCTCCCAAAGACCCTCCACCCCGCCCTTTTTGGCCCAAGATGGTTCCAAGAGAGCCCTAGATAGCCCAAGATGGCCTTCAAAATGGCCTAAGATAGTCAACCATGACTCAAGATAGCCTCCGACATACATCCAAGAGGCCTCAAGCCAGCCTCACGATGGCCCAAGATAGCCGAGCATGGCTCAAGATAGCCTCCGACAGCCTCTAGCCGAGCATGGCTCAAGATAGCCTCCAAGAGGCCTTAAGAAAACTGGCAATCAATTATGGTTGGGCTGGTGGGGGTATTTTTTCCTCGAAGGCGCAAGCGAAAGCGCAGGCGCCGTGGTGAAAGGTCCGGGCCGCGGGCCGATCTAATTACACGCGCGGGCGAGGCAAACTAAGCGGGCGAGCTGCCTAAGCTGCCTGCGCTGACGGCGTGAGGGGAGTTGCAAGTCGAGCGGGCTTCGCGCGAGCCTAATTACACAGCGACCGAGCGCGGGATCAGAACCTACCGCCGGGGAGGCAGCTGGCTGAAGCTGAGCTGGCTGAGCTGACTGCAAGCGGCGAGGGCTGCCTGCTGCACACGTGCGAGACCCAGAAGAACAACCGGGTGAATTGGATCCTGCACGCCAGGAGACGTCGTGACCTGTGCTGTAGGATACAGACCAAACGTCCGCCCAGCGAGGCTGTGCCACCAGACGGTCAAACCCGGGTAGGCAGCGCGCAATCAGGGAAACGGAGTCAGAGGGGTGCAAGCACACTCGGACCCGAAGTGGGTACCGTGGGAAGAAATCACTAGGTACGCGGCAGGACCTTGTCGCCACCGGGCGCCAGGGGTCAGGGCCACAGCAGTGGCTGGGTACGTGCCACGTGGGGGGGTGCGCCAGTGGTGGGGTGCGCCAGTCCTCTCCCCCCAGTCTCTTGCCAGTCCTCCTCCTCCCTTCTCCTCCTCCTCCTCCTCCTCCTCCTCCTCCTCCTCCCTTCCTCCTCCTCCTCCTCCTCCTCCTCCTCGCCTCCTCCTCCTCCTCCTCCTCCTCCTCCTCCTCCTCCTCCTCCTCCTCCTCCTCCTCCTCCGTCCTCCTCCTCCTCCTCCTCCTCCTCCTCCTCCTCCTCCTCCTCCCTCCTCCTCACTCCTCCTCCCCTCCTTCCCCCTCCTCCTCCCTCCCTACCTCCTCCCTCCCTCCCGCCCGCCCGTCCCTCCTCCCTCCCTCCCTCCATCCCTCCCTCCCTCCCTCCCTCCCTCCCTCCCTCCCTCCTCCTCCTCCTCCTCCCTCCTCCTCCTCCTCCTCCTCCTCCTCCCTCCGCCTCACCTCCTCCTCCTCCTCCTCCTCCTCCTCCCTCCTACCTCCTCCTCCTCCTCCGCCCTCCTCCTCCTCCTCCTCCTCCTCCTCCTCCTCTTCTTCAAATTATTATTATTAGTATTATTCTTATTATTATTTTTATTAGTATTATTCCTCCTCCTCGTCTTCTTCTTAGTATTATTATTTGTTTTCTTCTTATTAGTAGTATTAATATTCGTCTCAATCGTCTTCTTAGTATTAGTATTCTTCTTAGTGTTATTAGTATTCTTCAACGTAGTATTATTCGTGTGATTTCTCGTATTGCTATTCGTAGTGTTAGTATTGTTCTTCTTATTCGTAGTATTATTATTATTCGTATGATCAGTCTTCTTCGCCATATTCTGCTTATTATTATTATTAGTAGTATTATTATGATTAATATCATTACTATTCGTATTATGATTATTAATATTATTATTACTATTACTATTATGATTATTAGTATTATTATTACTATTATTATTCGTAGTATTGTTCTTATTAGTATGATTCCTCTTCTTCCTCTTCTGCTTGTTCTTCTTCCTCCTCCTCCTCCTCCTCCTCCTCCTCCTCCTCCTCCTCCGCCTCCGCCTCCGCCTCCGCCTCCTCCTCCTCCTCCTC